AAGAGGCAGAAATGTCTTGCACTAAAAAAGGAAAAAAAAAAACATACATCTCGGTTATATGGAAATCAAACAGCTTATGAAATGTGCCAAGATCTTTCGTCACAGCATTTCAGCATAACGCTAACCTGTATTCTGACGGGCAAGACAAATCTGTACAAACACTTCAATGAAACACATTGATTTTATTCAAATGCCCGAAAAAATACTAATTACAGCGAGAATTATGTTCCTTGCGATACGTTTTTGTCTTTCGTCTTTTTGTCATATAGTGTATGATCTTCCCTTGCTATTCTGCATTTCTACTTGTAATGATTTCATGACAAGCACACTTATCATACCTGGGATGCTGCCTGGGCGAGTCGTGCATGAAGGCAAACCAGAGGGCGCACCACGCGAGGGACAGCGCGCCCGTCACATAGAAGGCCGCAGCCCACCCGTGCGCCGCGATGATCACACCGCACAGGGGCAGCGTGAATGACGTGCTCAGTGCTGCAGCTAGGGAGGGAAGGCTGATTTACTGTGGTTCTGAAGAAGCAGTTGACACTATATTTATCCCAGAAAGCTAAAGATATCACTTTTTATATGAAAAAAACAATGCATGTTGAAGTACGTCCGCATTTTTAAAGGGGACATATCTCAGGGATGACACTGAAGGCGGACATTCGAGAGGCACCATCCTCTATCGACATTGTGGTAAGAACGAAGCGATTGGACTGTAAGCCTTGGCCTTGAAAGGGATATTGTCAGCATGGGTTGGCAGAACCTTACCGAAGTAAACTACGGCAATGAACCTAGGGCGCTCAAGAGGCGGGATCCAGCGGGCGATGCAAGCGTGCATGGACGGCCACGAAACGCCCTGGAAGCGAGAAAAAAGAAAATACCATATACATACCATATATATGTGTGTGTGTGTTTATTTATATCAGTGTGTTTTTATTTATATAGATATATATATATGTGTGTGATACATATATATATATATATATATATATATATATATATATATATATATATATATATTTATATATTTATATATATTATATATGTATATATATGTATATATATGTATATATAACATAATATATACACATATATATAATATATATACATATATATATATATATATACATATATATATATATATATAATATATATATATATATATAATATACATACATATATACATACATAATATATATGTACATATATATATATATATATATATATATATATATATATATATATATATATTATATATATACATACATATATATGTGTGTGTGTGTGCCCGCGCGAGAGAGAGAGAGAGAGTGCCAGTGTGTGTGTGTGTGTGTGTGTGTGTGTGTGTGTGTGTGTGTGTGTGTGTGTGTGTGTGTGTGTGTGTGTGTGTGTGTTGTGTGTGTGTGTGTGTGGTGTGTGTGTGAGTGCAAGTGTGTGTGTCAGTGTGTGCGTGTGAGTGCAAGTGTGTGTGTCAGTGTGTGCGTGTGAGTGCAAGTGTGTGTGTATGTGTGCGAATGTGTGTGCAAGTGTGTGCATGTGTGTGCGATGGTGTGTGTGTTTGTGTTTGTGTGTATGTGTGTATTTGTGTGTGTGTGTGTTTATGTGAAATATATATATACACATATACACACATAATTATATATGTATAATTATATATATAAATATATAAATATAAATATATATTTTTATAAATACACACATTCATATGTAACAAAGATGTTTTTATATACAAATTTCATATCATTCCACTCAAATGTTGTACAGTTTAATTTTTGGGTAGCGTAAGCAAAAGGGATTAAGGCTCGTGGAGTTAGAAATGCATTAATTCCCCTGTTTAATGTGTGATGAATGCTATAACGGTCACATTATTAAGCAATCAGCATTTTATTCTAGAAACAAATGATGATAAACAGGTGACAATTGAAATGTGAATCGTAGCAGTAAACATAACATAAACAAGCAGTTGTAATTTTCTAGAATACATCCGCCAAACAGATCGCGACGTTTTCGGTATCGTTAGATTCATCTGTCTAGTTCTCAAACATATAGAAATTATTGTGTAGAAACCCCCCCAAACCCCTCACATCCTTGGCCCCAATAGCTGTGAAGGGCATGAGAGGTAAGGAGGAAATTGCGGGGTAAAACGTAAAGGATATACACAGAATCAGTCAGTATATTGTCTAATGCAGGGAGCTCTGGTGTCGCCCCCAACCCCCGCCCAGGAAAACAAAGAATCCTCCACGTCTTCACGGTAGAAGAGAGCATCGGACAGACTTGACAACGCCACTCTCGCGTGACAGTCGTTCGCGCGCTTGCATGAATGAGTATGTTTTCTCGGGTAGGGGTGGGGGTCGGCAGTCACCCATGGGGGGGGGTCGTAATGGGGAACAGCTCCCTGCATTAGACAATATACTGCCTGATTCTGTGTATATAATTTACATTTTACCCCGCAATTTCCCTGGTACCTTTCATGCCCTCCCCTGCATCGCCAAGAGTGTGG